TCCCAGCCATTGTCAAAGCTTCTTACTGTAGGGTCACAGAGTGTTTAAGTGAGTCCCTACCAAAATTATTTGACATTTTTAGACGTTTTAGTAAATAATTCCGAATCCAAAACAGAATGTGGAGCCAAAAAGCCTGAAGTCTTGAACTTGTCACTTCCTAACTGTGCCCCTGGGCAAAAATGTTTAGCCTTCATCAAATTTAATTTCCTTGTTGATTAAATGGAGATCATGCCTACTTTACAGGGATATGGTGAAAATCAAATGAAATTATTTATTGAATGCTGCTTGTATGCTGAAAAGTACTACACACATGCTATTTTTATATAAGCTTGGTTTTTAGTCACAGCTCTAGACCGAACTGTGTTATTATTTCATGTTAAAATTCCTTCTCTGTGAATTTAGTTATCCCGTCATGATTTGGGAGTTTTAATAGTGTTTGGCTTTGGGGTGGGGTCAGGGGGTGAAGAGGGGTGGGGAAGAATAAAACAAGCTCCCCTGTGATCAAGTCTACTCAATAAAGCATTTTTGAAGTCTTAAGGTATATATCAGATATCAGTTGATGATTGATGCCCACATCAAAGACAAAAGCACTGTTTAACTCACAGCTCAGCAATCCACTTCCTCCAGATAAGTAGCAACTTACATTAAGCAGGTAGAATACAGAGCTCCCAGGGGGATCTCTATTAATAATTTCTCTCTCATCTGAACACCCAGGTGACCCTGGGAGCACTTCATTGTGTACTCTCTCAGACTGAAGGATGGAAATGTGGAAAGAGCATGGGGCTTGGGCTCAGAAACCCTAGGACAGAGTTTTAACCTGGTTTGTGTGTGTGACCTTGAATAAAAGGGACATAACAACTTGGCCCTGCCTCCTGTGCGGCTGAAAGGATTAAACGGGATAATGAAAGGTGAAAGGGTCTTACAAGCTGTAAANCTAAAGTACTGAATGACAAATATGTCACAGACATGATGACTTCAACACCACCAGGTGAAAAGATTCTGACAACCAGGCCATGGGGTTCATTTCCATAAATATGGTTCGTTTTAAGTACTGTACACAACACTCCTTATGAAGCGTTCTTTGCCAAAATGAGGCTTTCTCTGTTGGTGACAATGCTAAACTGCCATGTCGCCCTGAGAACTGGCAACTCTGAATTCAAGGTATGAATGGGTATAGATCAGAAACTGCTCCTAAGCACCCCAGAACAGACCCTCACATAACAGGTTGTGTCACTTGGCAGAGCATTGAATTTGAAAAAAAAAAAAGCAAACACCACCCATATCCATAGACTGAAGGATCTTTACAGGCAGGAATTGTTTCTGATTGGTGTCTCTGGTCGCAGGATCAGAGCACCTCTACAGTAAACTCTCAATAAAATAAATAACTAAGTGAATTAAATTAGAGGATTTTAACCCTAACTCTTTGTGGCTATGGACTTTCACCAACAATGGAATCAGAGACAAAAGTGCATAGTTTAGGGGTAGGAGAAAAAAGTAACAGAAATATTTTAAACATGGCTGGCCATTTGTAAATGAACTGGTGTGTGAATCAACATCCCACAACTACAAAAAACTAGTGAGCCTAAAGTATCATCTCTATGGCTTTAAAAATAATAATAAATCAGAGAGAACAAGTTGCTCTACAATAAGATAATGGAATCCTGCTGCCAGTCCTAGCCCTGCCATCACCTGGCCATGGGCCCTTGCCGGAAGTGCTTCCCTCCTTTTGTTTCCTGTCCATAAAATGATGGGTATCAAACAGGTGATAAATATGGTCATTTCAATGTCTAATATTACGTTCCTATAAAATACGAAAATCCTAAACATTCTATTGGTAACTAGAGGCCAACAGAGAAAAGGAGCCTTTCAAGGTTTCCAACAATGGATCCTAGCTTTTGCAATTTATATATTCCTTTGCAAAGCTAACGAAAGCTGTAACCTCCCTCTCAGAAGAATGAACATATAAACATGCAGAGAAGTTTCTGCATACAGTTTTAGGGATTTTACTAACTGCCTGAAGCCTATCCACTGAATTCCAAGTTAAAAACCTCAGCGTCAGCTGAAGCACTGCCTTGTTTGTTCACTTGGGAGATTTTCGCAATGGATGCAGAAGCTACAAGGGCTTAAGCATCAATGGTCAAGTCAGGCAGACATGAGACATGCTGTTATGGCATAAACAATAGAAGCAGTGTACACAACACTCCCTACGAAGTATTCTTGCCAAAAACGTCAAACCTGAATCTAATGAAGCCTTTAGATCTAACTTACAAGAAATACAGGCGTCACCGGAATATGTTAAAAATACCACGGGGATTCAAACAGCAAAATCCAGAATTGCGGAAATTCTACAGGATTTGTCTTTCCTTTCCAGCCACTCTTTCTGGCTCTGTTACCTGGGACCTCTTGCTCCTTCNCAGAAAGGGAAGGGATATCAGAACCCATTTGGTGGCCCAGGATTGTATTTCTAAACAAGGGGGTTTGGGGATATAATTTCTCTACATTTTGTCTTTTTTCATGTTGACCCCACTGTAATATGCTAGTTGTCTCAAACTCTTCCGAACACGCTTCTCTCTTCCCCTTTGTCTCTCACCCATTAACTGCCCCCCAACCCCTATACCTGGCCCACGACCTCTCCCTCCTCATCCTCCAGGATCAATGCCACCCATTTCTCCAAGTCCCAGAAGAGGCTGCCCAAACATTTTCCCTCGAGTCCGATTAGTGGTAACTCCTGATATTACTTCCCACCCGGATTTCTCTCGTTGACCCAAACACCACCACCATCCAAATCCCCCCCGGGAAACTTGTAAAATTCAGATTCTTGGACCCTATCCCAGAACAAAATTCTCAGCAGAAGCATGTGTGCTGAATTCAAAACCAATGCTTTCTAACTGACGAGTGCCACTTGGTTTAAAGATATGGATGACTCAATGCATTTTTGAGGTTCTATTAGGTTCTGACAATAGCTTGATAGATGGCAGTTCCTCCGCTACATGTCTATCCACCTGTTTATAAAGTGGGGCTAACCAATAAGGCACTAAGTAGGATTCATTTAACCCTCACAACACTACCATGAAATAGCTACTATCAATATTCCTGTTTAAAAGATAAGGAAGCTAACAGAGAAGTTAAATGACTTGCTCAAGGCCACACAAAAATAAAAAGGAATTCTAAGCACTTTGATTTCCTTAGTAAGGTAAAAAAAAAAAAACAAGCACGTGATACATTATGTAATCCGTCTCTAAGAATAGAATGTGTTTTTATCTACAGTGTGGTACAGCAGATCTCTAGAACTTATTCATCTCGCATAACTGAAACTTTATACCCTCTGATTAGCAACACTTCCTTTCCCCCTCCCCCAANACCCTTCCTGGCTACATCAAGAGTTGTGCAAATTAAATAAAGAGTCTCAAAGGGCTATGTAAACTGGGAGGTCCCATTATCACCATTATGAACGGGAAGTGTTATACCGGACTCTGCCAAGATTCAGCTCAGCGATAACAGTGCCACGTGGCAGAAAGAATCCCACCCAGGCTTTGCCACACTCCCATGCCAGGCCTCAGTTTTCCTCAATGGTACAATGAGTAGCTTGGACCAAAGACCGGAAGTCCGTTCCCCTCGCAGCCCGTTTATTTCCAAGTCCCCTTTAAATCTAATTGCCAGCAACCAGCACGTGGCTCCCCACCCCAGACTATTTCTTTATTCATCCCTAACCTTTACCTTGGCAGACGAAGCATAAAATTCATCAAGCACATTAGACGACCCATGGCACATTTCCTGTTTTCCTCCGTGCCCTCTGCAGGTCACAGACACACAGAACCCGGCCTTTCCAGGGCTCAGGCTGGACGGGGCTGCGGTAGACAAAAGCGGCACTCCTCCCAGGGGCCAAGGGAAGTCCTGAGCGCAGGTCAGGATTGTTTGGTTTTGAGGTGTGCTGGGGATGAAAGGCACCTTGGAAGTGGAAGGCTCAGTCATTTATTAATTAATTATAATTGAGGGTTTGTTCTTAAGAATGATCCCTTTGAAATTACTTTCCATTAAACAGTGACTGCCACAAAGGCATCAGATACTCAGAACATTCTCTCCATTTCCTCAGCATGAATATTCTTATTCTGAGACCTGAGATTCTGTTCTGATCTGGCTCTTCCCTTGGGGGTCTCACCCACCTACCTCGCTTTAGAGCTGGGATTTGTACATTTGGGGCAAAGGGGGAATGTGTGTCTGTGTGCTTAATGTCTACTTTTTAAAAGGAAATCTACGCTACACTAAACATTTTTGTGGACTGTAATCTGACCCTTTTCAGATAAATGGACAATGGGAAAACTCCACGGAAAGAGTAGAAAGACACCTGAGATGAATACCCACCTAATGTCGTGGGCCACACCTCCGGGTTACAACTGGAAGGGAGGAACAAACTGGTATATCGACATGGCTCTAAACAACAACAGCAACGTGTGTGAGGGCCCGGGGCACTTCAGGATTGACCAAGAGGAAACACATGTTGCACAATGATACGATCTTGTTGGTACAGTTGTCAGAGAAGGGAACTCCCACAGCGAAGGGCATAAAACCATCCAGGGCAGTTTGGGGCGGCTCAGTTCTGCGGTGCCAGGGAGCAGAGCAGAGCCCAGCCCTGCCCTACACACAGATGGGACCATGAACTCCAGACACAGTTTCAGCCAGACCACCTCCAGTTCCCTCCATGGTACAGGAGGCGGCTGGGGCCGGCCAGGGAGCTTCCCCCGGGCTCCCAGCGTCCATGGGGGAGCAGGAGGTGTGCGCATCTCCCTTTCCTTCACCTCACCAAGCTGCCTGACCCCTGGAGGGTCTTGGGGGTCTGGAAGAGGCAGTTCCCTTCTAGGTGGCAATGGGAAAGTGACCATGCAGAACCTCAATGACCGCCTGGCCTCCTATCTGGATAAGGTGCGTGCCCTGGAGGAGGCCAACGTGAAGCTCGAAAGTCGCATCCTGAAATGGCATCAGCAGAGAGATCTCGGCAGCAAGAAAGATTACTCCCAACATGAGGAAAACATCAGAAGCCTGCTTAAGCAGGTAAGATCGTGGGTGACCCTGGAACTCGAGAGGGGGCTGCATTTCCAGGGAACCCATGAGAGGAGAAATCAGTAGGCAAGACAGTTTCCAGGAAAATGGCAGAAGAGCTTAAAGTAATTGTGAACAAAGGTTTTTGAGGATATTTTCTTATACCTTAAACATGGACTCGGGAAAGTCTGTTTTGCTTATTCAATCTCCTGTACATAAATTATGTGGAAAATCTAAAAAATCTAAGACAACCAGCTGCTGACCCAGAGATGTCACAGTAATGACAAGGGCTGGTATTCATTCCTCATGTTCAGTGTATGAGGCACAAGAGAACATTTGCCTTTTCATTATATCAGTTCTGCTCCACCTCAAAGAACTGGCAACAGTGTGATTATCCAGCGAAGAAAGGCTGAGTTATACTATTGTGGAGATCACACCTAAAAGCTATCACTCCACCAGCAGATAAATCAGTGTGACATCCCTGGATAGTTACTCTTGGGGGCTGCCTGAAGTTCTGAGTTCTAGATGCTCACAGTTTTGGATATGGTGTATTGCTAGGAAAAAAACACACAAAATGAACAGAATTTTTGGAGTCTTAGAGTTAGGATGAGTTCTGGAGACTTCTTTAAAAATAAATAACTTTCCAACCAAATATTTTAAAAGCTAAGCTTATATACCTTCTGGGATGTCTCATAACATTGGCTAGAAGCAGGGGGAATCCAGTAATCTCATAGGTTGTTTTTTAAAGATACATAACTTCCCTTTTATATAAAGCAATCCCAGAAAACTTCCTGCAAGATCTTGATTTAACCTATCGTAGAAAGGGCATCACAGGTTTCCAATATTTATACTTCTCATCACTTAGTCATCCTTGCTTGAATGTAGGAAGGACCAATCAAGATAATATAAATCTGTCTTCATAATAAACCCTAATTATTGAATAATCAACCTAATAACTGACTGTGTAATTACCTTAACTATATAGTACATGGTTGTCTTTACAAAAAAAAACAAGGTGACTCAACAAACCTCACCATATTTTTTTTCATTAATAAAGTTGCTTTGGTTTTAGAATGGAGAGACTAGAAGATTTTTGCAAATGGACAACTGAGGACATAACTCCCAAAAGAAATGTGAGGTTAGACCTGGTCAAATAATGTATTAGCTGACAGCAAAGAGAAGGCGGCAAAGGGAGGAAAAGGAGGGAAACATTTATTGAGCACTTGTTGTATGCCAGGTCTCATGCTGGGTATTTAATACACTTATCTGTGCCACCCCAAAGCTTTCTGCAATGATGGGAACATTCTATATCATCTGATTTAATCCTCACAACAACCCTGGAAAAAAACTGAAGCTCAGGAAAGTGAAGTAGCCACCAAAGGCACCAGGAAGAGGCAGAGGTGGGACTCTCAGCTAGGCCTGCTTCCAATGGCCTCGATTTCCAAGTGGTGTGGTGCTGACTAGCCTACCTCGCACAACAATGATACTGTTCATTGATAAAGATAATGTGTTACATTTGCATTGTTAATTAAACAACACATCTTTCATACACATTACTCATACTGGGAAGCAGGTATTTTTACCCCTAATATAGAGATGAGCAGACTGAGACCAAGTGGTTGCCTAAATTCTCAGGAGCAGAGTTGAGAAAAGTGAGTGGGGCCAACGACAAGGACCTATAAACAACCTATAAGCTTGCCCACTCTCCAGGTGGCCACAGATGCTGGGCTCAGACATTCAATAGGAAGCTTCTTCAGCTTCGAATTCCGCTCTTCGCTGGATTTCTTACCTCTGCTCTTACGGTTTCTCTATGTTTGAAGAAAACAACTCTTTGAAGCTGAGGTGTCTATCTATTCCAATGTCCCCTGCTTGCAGGCGAGAAAACAAAGGCCAAAAGAGATTCCACAGCTACCCTGCCTTCCCAGGGCCTTGATGAAATGTTCTGAGTAAATACAGCACTCTCCCGCTGTACTTTAGGGATATTAAATGCTACTCAAAAAGTCTATAAGAAATTGAGTCCAAAAGCTAATCCACTCTTTTTGAAACACAGAGTTGGACATAGTCAGAGGGATATTAGAATAACTCATACTAGAACTATATTTGGCATTTTGGTTTATGGTAAAAAAAAAATCCTATTTTCCTCCCTCTGGTAGGAGATTACACAGCCTGGAGCAATGCTGCTGTACTCATACAACTAGATTTTTTTAACAGAATTAACTCAGGGCCCTGGGGAGAATCCAGGTGATTAATCATAACTAACACAATGTAAAACCTATGCCTCATATATTATTTCTCAATCCCTCCTCATCCATTCATTACTGCAAAGAATGTCTCAGAAATAGTAGTTGTACCATGATATTCTATCAGGTAACCCAAGCAGTAGGAAATAGTTTTTATTTTTCAATGTGCTCTATATCAAGTGCATTTCAGAATTCACCACTCATGTACTATGAGAATGCTGGCTAGGAAATCAGAGTCTCGATATGGGCTTTGCAATGGATAAATTACCAGTGTAACTCAGGAAAGCCCAATTAGCCCATGGATACATTTTTTTTTTNTTCATCTATAAAAGAATGTGTAGTTACTTGTCCAGAAAACAAATTAAGAGTCTTGCACAAAAGAATATTTCAACAAAATATATTACTTCCTGTCTAAAAGCATGCTGATTAAGACATGTATCAAACATGAGCAGTTTAAAATAGCATCATCAACACTGTTTATTCTGTAATCCTGTAGAATAGACAAACACAGCATATACATACTATGGATGCCAGAAGAATCAACAATAAATTCTATTTTATGACAATGTCTTTTTTTCGTGGCAGAAAACTAATATTGTGCTATTCCTCTAATATCCCTGTATATTTTGCTAAGTCATTCTTCTACAAAAATATTAAATAAACCACGATCGTCTCTTCTCTGGACAGGTGTGACAGCCTCCCAGCTGATCCCCACACATTCACTCCTGCTCTCATGCATTCTCCACAAAGCAGCCAGGGTTATTTTTTAAAAACACAAGTATAATCGTGGCACAGCACTCCCCTTCTTCAAATATTTCTGTGGTTTTCCACGGCTCATGTGTTGAAGATCAAAATACTTAGCAGAATTGAGAAAGGCCAGAATATCCCAGCACCTAAGTGCATCACCAGACTTCATCTCTTCCTACTTCCCCGCCTTGCTCTCTATGCTGCAGTCACTTAGATTAGGTATTCAATAAATATTTATTGAATGACTAGATGAATGAATGAATGAATGAATAGGTGAACAATACATTGTGTTTCTTTTTGTTAATAAGAAGCGATATTTTGGTGAACCAAACAGATGGTTGAATTTCAGGCACCAACAACTGTCAAGTGGGGAAGACTCCTGGTGTGCCAGGACCTTCCCACAGCCCTCCATGCACTGACCTGATGAACCCCACCACATGAACCCCAATGGGCTAAAGGTAAAACCTACCAGGACAAGATTTCAGCAAATTGCATGAGGTGATGTCTCAGCAAACCAACACCAATTACTGAAAATGTCTCCTTAAATGGCAAAAGAAAGCAACGCCCAGTGAGCACTGAAGCTAATGTCTGGGTTAATTCAAGGATTACCAGTGACAACAGTCTTTGCATAAGGGATTTATTTGATTACCTATCATGTTCTTTGGATTAAGATGATACTAAGGAGATAAAGAAAGAGTGAAATCATTTCAGTCTTGCCCTAGCGCTCCCCACCCACAAGTGGGGATCTGCTTTTCTTCTGTAGCCTTCAATGAACAAAATCACCCCAACTGTCCTG